GCCAAGAAATCTCGTCCGATTTCGACAGCGATGGAGTCAATAAAAGTGTAATTGATGCAAATCACCCATATTCCCAAAACGCCAGCAAGACAATTTACGGCAGCAGACTTCTGGGGGTGGATCCTAGATTTTAAGCTTTCTTAGTTAAAGAAAAAATAAACTTCCACCCCAGGAAGTTGTACAAATACCCTAAAAAGTTACTGTCAAATATCTTTATTTACAAAATACGTAAAATGCCAGAGGCACTGGTACCAAAATTTATTTTAAAAAAAAAATTGGACTAAAGAAAATAAGAAAAAACAATCAAAAGAAAATATTCATTTTAAAATGAAAATATATACATAGCCAATCGGGTAACGTCTACCCATTCAGTACTCGTCTCCATCTTGTTCAACCAGGAAATGATGTAAACTTCCGGAAATTTGGTACTCTTTTATCTATATTTCGACGCGGTACTTCCACAACTACTCGATGTCAATTTATTTGTACTGAGAAAAAATATTCTGAAATTGTATTACGTAAAAACAATTGAAAGGCAGCTTATTTTATTGAAGAATTACTTTACTATAATTAATTTCATTCCCCCATCCTACCCGAAAAAGACAATGGAGGGGGGGGGGGAAAAGGCTTCTAAATAACTAGTATTCTACCTATAATTTTAATCCAGTAAATTTTAAGATCCCTCCCTCAAAACTGCAGACATTAATTGCTTCCGCACGTCTCCCAGGGGAAGAATCACAGATTAATGTTAATTCGGCTTTTATTGAGTTTGCTATACGGAGAGAATGCTAAGGTTTTCTTGGCATGATAAGGCAAAACTAAATATATTGTGTGGGAAAATCGCAAAATTGTTAAAATAATCTTAATGTACAATTTTTATATTTTACAAGAACTTAAGAATTATATTTCTTTTTTATTTAAATAAAAAAAAACAGTATATACATTTGATATTTTTATTTTTAGTTTATTGATAATGTAGACATGTAGCTTCTCTTATGTATTGTACACCACCACGACAAGGCTTTGTGTTTGTAATAGGGAGTTAAAAGTCAAGACAATAACACTGAATGCAAAAATTTAGGGGATAAATGACAAGAACAATCGAACTAAAGACAATTCTCGAGAGGAACGTTAAACAATATAAGAGCAAGCAAACAAAAATTACCACAAAATGCCGACTTACAACAAAGTATTTCAACTCCCTGTAACATCAACATATGAAGTATTAGCCTGCCTCGCTTTAAAAAATGATTGTACTTAGAGCAAGCTCGTGAGTAACAAGTAAGTTGGGAGGCGTAAGCAAGTCATGGTGAAATGTTGCTACATAAATAAGGAAATTTGACGATAGAAAAACTGAAGTTTTTCTCGCTTGTCATACAAATTAGTTTTAAGTTTGTCTTTTATAGTGATGAAAACATTCAAATCTGAAACGGATGTAGCAGACTCTGTGGAGTCTTTAATTTCAAGTTCACGGTATAGAGAGAGTCGACACATAAATGAAAATGTCTGTATTTAATTGATAAAACCTCATGGATAATTATGGTCTACCCTTCTCATTTAGAAGTTTTTGAATAAATTATGCTTCATAAAAATATAAAAAAAAGTCCGCTAATAAAGAGTATAATTCCAACTTTAGAAAACTTGGTTTCCGAAGAATACATTAATATTGTCAATAAGGAAGCTAAGTATCTGTCAATTATCAACTCCAAAATACGGTGTCGCTGATCTTTGGGGAATTACTCAGATAGATAGTATTTACATTTGCTAAATATTGATATTAGATGAAAACATATTTATGTGCATTGCAGCAGTAGACACATGTAAATACCTGTATGACACTAATTACAAACTGTTTCCGGTAACCAAAATGTATTTCGGCATTAAAAAAAGAGATTTCAGTTTTTGTAATACTCTATGATCAATATAATGACATTCCCTAACACAAATGCTATAGTTGGCAATAGTTAACTATAGTTAGCAATAGGGTATATCCCCATTATTTGATCAATACAAGGGGCTCACGTTAGATGTGACCATTCAACTGGGGATACTTTCTCCTCTATGGCATCTGATCTCACCTCCAAGGGTCCCTGATTATGCTCTGATCACATATTTGTATTATTTGTTTGTTTAATTGGATCGCTGTTCGTTATTCATCTTTTTATCCCTGAATTTTATTTTAATCTGAAGGCATTCCCTTCCAATTTTCCATAACGTTTGGCGAGTAATTAACCGCTTTGAGAATGAGTACTCTCATTAAGCAAAGATATCGAAAAATTTAGATTTATGCTGAGTTTAAAAAATTCCCATCATAACTCTCAATATTATAAATATGCATCATACAAGTCCATTATTATTTAAAGGCCATCTACATTTTTTTAATGTATTATCAATACCAATACCAATCTTTCAAAACAACAATAAAATAAAATTTTGGTAATATTTTATATCTGTAATAAACAAGCAAGTCAACAAATCATATGGCTGTATATCAGCAACATGGAAAGGAAATTATTTAAATTTTCCCCGAATTAATCCTGATGATACAAATAATGAATTTCCACATTTCCAATTAAATAGTTACAGTTGTTGTAAATAAACTAATTATATATATCACTTACTTTTCAACAGTATCATATTGATGTGCAATATACACTCATTCATTTCACAAAATGAAGCTTAATTATTTATATAATAAAATCCTTGATATACCATAATCCTTGATACTATAATAGTAAACTTCAATTAGCTATATCAAACTACAGTTGATTATTTTTAAAGGAACTTCGTAGATGCATAATTTCCATCATAATTCATTGCGTTTCTCCATTTTAAGAAATAGTCCATTTTTCGGCTTCAGGAGGACCCTTACATCAAGTTTCAAAGGTACCTAAAATAAATAATTAATTAAAAGACCTCTAAGAACAATAAAATTAACTGTTCATGAGTTTTGTTAGTTTTAAAAAAAAGTATAATATTTTTAAATTTAAATAGTATAAGATATGTAATTCAAGTAAAATAATCATGCAAACGGTGTCGATAATAAATACATATGGTAAATTAATTCGCTTTAATAATCTTAACGACGAAATAAGGTCACCTCTGTCTTATCAGATGGCACAAATTTGTATTTTTGAAGAATTGTGATTAATGCACATTTAGCTTCCAAGTAAGCCAGGCGCATCGCTATGCAGCTCCTTGGTCCGAGTCCGAACGGGAGAAAGGTATATGGTGTCAAATCAGACTTGTTCTTTGCCAAAAATCTTAAAAATGGTAAAGATATAACACGAGATTTCCTCGATCATATGCTAAAAAAATAATTTTGACATAATATATTTTATATTGTTCTATAGCTTACAAAAGTGAAATTGAATAGAAACAATATCTTTAATTTTGAATTCTTGAACAGATTGAAATTGATCTGCTTGATCTTATAAAATGACTAAAAATGTAAAGGTTTAATTCAATGTATGAAAAAGTACATGTTTAATTTATCTTAAACAAGTTTTGTTAAAATTTGGACAAATTTTTTATATAACATGTAAATATAAAGTTTTTGGATATGTTTTCGTAGCATAGTGAATCCTTCTTTTATGTAATATATACATTGCTTGGAATGATGATCAAATAATTTGATAATTTATAAAATGTTTGGAATGATGGTCGAAGAAATGAATCACATGTATATTAAAATACTAAGAACAAAGTACGGTATTAGCCAAAAAATGCCGGCTGTCATACATTCTCCGCTCAAAACATTTTAAAAAGCTTAGAATTTTTAAAATCAAATGATATATAATTTATATATCTGACTTAAATGTATGCATTGAAAAAATAACGCTGAATACAGTACCTTTTATAGCAGAACGTCGAGATTTTTCGAAGAATTTGACGCGACGTCATGAATACGTTTAACGTGTAGTAAGCGTAATCTGAAAATTTTAATTTACTGGCTAGGACACAGTTTATATTACACTGTAAATATATATTTAAGAAATTAAGTTGTTGATTTATTAATACGTCATTATTTGTTTTGTTTGTTTTTTTTAGTTTATCTATTATCATTATTACTTACAATGTAATCATCCACGAAGGTGTCTCCGCTTTAGTTGATTAGAACTAAATCCAACAGAGGAACGGGGAGAAAAAGAATTTATAAACAGTCTTTTCTCTTTGAGATCTGCTTTCTTTTTATTGCATTGATTATACGGGTTTAATAATTTTTTTTAGCTATTTCTCTTAAATAAATTGAGAAAAATTCTTTACATCAGATCTAGTGAAAAAATGTCATGATGGAAAAGATCAACGTTTCCTCGGCACCAAAAAAAAGTCAGTTCTTTAGAATATGGTATGTAAGGTGCACGAACATTTAAAAAAAAATCTCTTATGTCAAGATAATTATTATTTATATTATTATCATAATTATTTGAACAGTAGTTTAGCATACTATGATTATATAATGTAGAGGAGAGACCCCCTCTTATGGTCAATTTTGCCAATAAAGATACTACATCAAATAAATAAGAATGCGAGGGATTTCGATCCCGATTTAAAAAAAATATCAGCAGTAATTTTTTTAAATTAATTCATGCGTACATTAAAATTGATTGTTTTCTGTGATATATTCATTTACATCCTGCTTGATGACAGAGGAATACTTGAAATTTAAATGTTACCCCCCCCCCTTTCTGTGTTTAATGACTTCATATTATTTATTATGCCTTACACAGTTTTGGGGGGTTTTTATAAGACATGTAAATTATATTTAATAAGACTGAAAATGAGTCATCGGTAAAAGTTTTGATTAAAAGTTTTGTTTGGAGGGGGATAAGGGGGGGGGGGGTGTTATAAATCGGACTCAGTTCTGACTGAATAATATATCAGGCATTCTTTCAATTCGCTTAAAACGTTTTAAATACCTGTTCCGAAATTATTATTATTATTACCCCCGCTTGAAAAGCGGAAGGGTATAACCTTGCATTAATGATACAAACTGTTTATCTCCACTAGAGGAAAACAGTATCAAAATGTTCTAACCCAAAGGCTATAAGAGCAAAGATACGAGAATTCATAGAAACTTTTATTAGATTTTATACCAGTAATTTTATACCAGTAATTAAGTTTAATTTGACAGTTGCCATTTTAATTCTAAAAAAGGGGTATTTCCAAACTTCCGCGACAGTTCGTTTGTACCAAACCAAATCTCAAATCTCTGTGTGCGGAGAGAGCAGAGGACAATGGGTAGTATGGGTCATTTCTAGCTGACAATATGGTGTCAGAAAAGAAAAGTTTCCGTTATTAATCAATAATGAATCTTTTTCATTTTACCCTGGATAATATAATTTTTCAAAAGTTTGAAGTTTTTATCCATATTTTTAAAACGGACACGAAAAAGTGTTCCAACATAGAAAAATCGTATAAAAATATTTGATTTTAAATGAATGAAGTTTCAAACTTCTTTAAAAAAAAGGGATAATTTAATTTGTAAAAATATGTACTAACTTAAATTGCCTCTGACCTTTATGTATGATACAAGGAAAACAAAAAGTGGTTAGCTCAAAACCTGTAAAATGTCTTTTGTCGTTTGCTAGTGTTAACAAAATAGGGATTGTAGCATAAAACATGATTTACTGAAAAAAAAAATAATAAGTTCCCATCTTTCCAAAAAAAGGCACATGTAGTATCGTTTTCCCGCTCTATCATGTACATAAAAATACATATGGTGATTTTAGGAGTTTTTTACCAATAGAAAAAAAAAATTAGATGATGATCATGAAAAAGTTGTTACTTTACATGATATACTTATGCCCCCGTAAACGAAATTTCCGTGTTTTGCCCCTGTAAAACGAAGTTTCTGGGGTATATAGCATTTTACCTGTCCGCTTGTCTGTTTGTAGATTTTTCCACAAAACCAACCTTGCCCATGCCCATGACTGGGTAAGACTACAGCTTTCATTTTTTGTGACAAGACCTTTTTGTGTACAATCAATTTTGACCTTTTAATATTGACCTTGGAGTTTGACACACTTTTACACAAGGAGAATGTGGAGATATTAACTTACAGGATTCAATATCAAAGTCCATAAAACAATACAAAATATAAAGGAGCAGAGCAAACACGAACCTCCGAAACATCAGAGATGGAATCAGGTGCCATAGAGGAATGAGCATCCCCGCCGACCGGTCACATCTGCCATGTTCTCCTTGTCACGACTGGAAATAACAGGAAAATCCTCCGCAAACGCGACGCACAAATAACGGACCAACAAAAAGCACGAAAAACATTAGTCAGCATTTGTTTCAATTTGATAAATTAATGAAATGTTGACTTCAAATGAGATTGCCCATATTCTTGTTATTTATTTCATTTACTTGCTTGTCAATAATTTACTTCGTTTTAGAAATTGTTCATATGTAGAGCATGCTCTTGCGTATAGAATCAACCGAGATATATACACTCCGTTTGCAGGTGATGAAGGTAAATTGCTGCATAACCAAGGAAATTTGACGATAGAAAAGTTTGCCATCACATTTATCATTAAGCCTAGATTACCATTAACGTCTTTTTTCAAGTAAATTTTTTCCACTTTTTGAATATATTGTTGCGCAGTACACTAAGAGTTTTTCCTTCTCTACTGTCAATACTTTAGTGCGGAGTACAAAAGAGATTTGAATGAACATTTACTAGAACCCGCAATGCGTCTTTGTTTGGAATCCAATATATATCGGGTAATTCAATTTTATTTTTGCTCTGTGTAATATTAAAAATATTTAAAACTGACCTAAAATTTTGAAGAATTTCTTCTTTAGAAAGGGAAGTATGAGTATAAGTAGGATTACCACTTGTAGAATTAAATCTTAAAAGTTCTTCAAAAATACAATTAATGAGACTTACAAACGAAGACAATGTTGTTATCTGCTTTGTCGACAAGGACCTGTACGTACTGATCATATAATCTATCTATTTTTTTTTCATATTATCCCTCAATCTTTGAATACGCGGCGTTTACATGGATCTGATACATTTAATCCATTGTGGAAAAAATCAACAATTTCACACGTTTACTTTAACATTAACTTTTGGACGGTATGGACTAGAAATTTATTTTGAAGTAAGGGCATGACAACTACGAGTTCATTAATTTGCAAAGGTTACCAGTGTCTATAAAATCCCAGAAAAAAGTGGATGTAACAGCAACCATTGGTCACGTATCTGTGGGATAGAAAGTGTTGAAAAGAGATTTTTAAGTTTTTATTTTAATTTATAGATATCTCTGAAGGTTGAACTATTTTTCACTCAGGTGTAAATTTTTGCCAGTTTTGGAGAAATTTGTAATATTAACATAAGAACTTTTTGATGTGTATTGTATTTCCTGTATATAAAGTAAAAAGTATAGTAATATGATTATAAGGTAGTTAAAAAGTATGTATTTTAAAGCAGAATAAATGCATACAGATGTATATGTAAGTTTAAGGACAGATGATACAAACAAAAAATGGATGCCTGGATAGGTATATACTTTTTTGGCTTAATATCATTCAAAATAGATTATTCCTAGAATATAAGGAATTTGTAAACCTTTAGTTTAAATTTTTCCCCTTTAAAAACATTTTTTTATTAAAAAAATATTTTTTCTTAAAAAATTTTTGTGAAACTTTAAATAAAAATATAAAAATACGCGGTGAAAGTTATTCATTTTACACATTAAAACATGACCCAAGTTGTTATTTTTATATTTGTAAACAAAAGTTTGTTTGTATCATCTGTCCTTAATGGTAAGAGCCAATGGAATTGAAAAATAGTTAAACAATGTTGCTATCGATGTTCGGAGGTCCATGTTTCTCTGCTCCTATTTTTTATTGTTTAATGGACTTTGATATTTAATACTGCTTTTTATCTCCATATCCCTTTTTCTTGCTCTGTGCTATTTTTTTTCTTGCAAGAATTTTCAAAGATTATAGTAAATAGAAACGCATCATGCCATTTTCGGAATAAAACCTTTAATGAAAAAAAAAAAAAAAATATATAATCATAAATTATGTTCTCGATGAATAAATATTCAAACAGAAAATCCCAAACAAAAATTATACCCATACAAGATACATGCATTGGCTGTGATGCTACGTTTAAGATATGCAATTGAATATAAGTTGGAAAGGATAAGATTGCATAAAAAAAATCCCCCCTACTTGGATTTGAAAGTATGAAAAAATCAGGAGACACATATACAAGGTTTTATTGTAGAAAATACAGGGGGGGGCAAATTTCTATGAGGGTCATTTTTAAAAATGTTTTGAAGTCGTAGAATTAATGGTTTGGAATGTTTTTCTACAGTCGAAAAATGACCCTACTTGTCAAATATTGA